TCATATTATAAGAGTTGGAAATAACTAGAATAGAGTTTCAACTTTGCAAACCATTTAAACTGGTGTCTTGCTTTCAACATGTTTCTTGGATTTAATATGAAGATCTATGCTCACCGAAAACAATTGTAACCTCGAACACCCACAAAAATTGTTCAATAATAACATTTGGGAGGCAGATTCTACATGGAATGTAGATGATTGTAAAATGACCCCGGATTTAAGATTTATAGGCTTTATATATAATAACCAACATCTTGAATTACATATAGAACCAAACTGGTTAGTGAATAGGGCCATCACAATTAGAGGTATACGACGGTTATATCTGCTCTCACATATTAAGCAGACAAGCAGTTGCCATTCTGAATGGTCTTTAGGGACAGACCCTTCAAGAATGAATTGCAATAGTCTAACCATGAAGTATTTCCAAGACTGGCTACAACCGATGCACCAGTGGAAGCCAGCCAAAATTTCTCCTGGCCATGATTTCTACTTACTCTACTGCATTATATCCACAGTCTGAGGAGATAATGCAGTGAATTTATAAAATTAATGTGCTAACAGATTCCCATTCATCATCTGGTTTCTATGGAAACTCAGAATGCTGTAGGGTTCCTTGCCGAGTCTCTCGTGACTGGGAATGCTGCAGACACAGCCTCTTCACCGCGCATATATTGCTTCAGCAATAGACTTGGGGTGGGGAAGCATTATCTCCACCCATATCTGAACATGTTAGCAGAAAGGGAGGGAGAGGGAGGGAGGGGGAAGGAGGGAGAGAGAGACTGAAATGTTCCTCATGAATTTTCTACAAAGTCAATTGCAAGAATAGGTTAGTGAGTTCTAGTCCCACCTTAGGCACTAAGCCAGCTGTGTAAATGGGGGCCAATCGTTCTCTTTCTTGGTCCCAGGAAGCAGGCAAGTCACTTTCAAAACACCTTGCCAAGAAAACTGCAGAGAAAACTGAAGAGTCCAGGCATTGGTCAGACACATTTTGTAACATACAGTCCTAGTAAAGACATGCCATGAATGAGAGGTCTTTGGGTGCCTTGCTACTCAATGTGGTGACAAGGAAATTTAAGTTCTCCCCATCTCTATGATACTTCAGAGATAGTATGATACCTAGGAAATGTCAGATCAAAAGATGGTGGTAATTCTTTTATTTAGTAAAGGTAGAAGGAAAATCAGAGTGTGGCACCTCTTGTTTGATCTTTTTTTACAATGATATTTGAATCAAATTCCAAATGTCCCTCTCTTACACCAAAGAGATGATGCTATGGATGTGCATGAGAGTCTTCTGACCTCTGCTTCACCATTCGCATCACCTCTCTGCTGAGAGCGAGGGAATCAGATGACTTTTCAAATATTTTTCTTTTAGAAGTTTTCCAAGCCATAACATGACAGATCCATCCCCACAGCTCTCTTAGGATTTGCAGTGTTGACTTCCTGCTCATCTGACTTGAAAGAAAACTGGGTTACGTGCTATCCCAACTTGGATTGATGGAGGATGGAGTGATGGAGGCAGGCTTAAAGAGGGACAGGAATACGTTTAAAAGAAAGGAAAGGAATGGAAAAGAAAACAGTACTTGAAGCCACCCCTGCTGTGGACTCAGCATGTGCTTCTGAGCCATTCACTTGTTGGTTTGCCTTCTATATAATGGATGATACAGCAGCAAATATAGGGTTGAAGGAATGCTTTGATGTTCAAGATCCATGGATCCCATATTGTGTAGTATTCAGTTTTGACTTTTGAGCAAACTGCTTATGGTCTTATGCCTGCTTTTGGAAGTAGATGCTATAGCTAGCCAAAGCCATCAAAGAAGTTTAGAAAAGATGCCCAGGTAAAAAAATACTATTGAAGTTTGTCTTCATCGAGGATTCAGAAGTACAGTGTGCTGTTTTCACATTTAGCTATCATGAATCATACCTAGCTATAGAACATTCTTTTTAATCTATATCAAAAGAAATTGTATATAACATCAAGAAAATGAGGAGGAAAAAAAGATTTACCTACAATTTTCAGTCTAAGATCCTTCCAAATGTATAAGAAACAAAATGACATGTTCCCCCCAACAACTGGCAGCTTTAAATATTGAAAATACAACTGTCAAAGTATCAGACAATTGAAAGTTATTGTATAAATTTTGCCTGTAACTGAAATTTTATTGCATGTATTCAGCAGAAAAATAGAAGTAAAAATATGGTGATAAAGCTGAAAATCAGAACACTAAGAAAAGCATAGATATAGAAAATCTTGGAGATTTATACATATATACACACACACATACAAAATTCATACATATAAAATCATCTTAAAGCAATAATGTATGTATAAAATCCATACTCTGCCTCAGTTCAACTGGTTTACAATATATACAATGAAGTATAATAATGCAAAAATGTAGTTATAATAAAATTGATCGATTTTCATATCTATCCTCTGAAGATCATTGGCATTTTAACCATCTATTCATTTCAATATTAATTTTATTGCCAACTATGAATGTTATTTAGCAATTATTAGGTTATTCAGTTAATTGGAGTTATTTTCATATACTTCCCATAGAAAATACTGTAATATAGCCAAGAAAATTAATAAAAATGGTGTTTCATTTGCTGTTTGGATTATTTTAATTATACAGGAAAAATGCATATTTGATTTAAATATTTAAAACTATTTATCTGTAGACGTGGCTACTAAAGAATAAATCCAATTAAGGAATGGGATTTACTTCCAGCCAGGTTTGTATACTGAGGTTAGGAACCTAAGACTTTTCTCATTAGCCTGATTACCTATTATATTTAGATCTAATAGAAATTGAACTTCAATAACATTTGATGAATACTAGATTACCATTTCTGGACTAGGATTGCACTCTGTGAAGTTTCATGTGCCCTTTGAATTGGTGAACATAAGACTGTGGTATAAGATTACATCGTCTGTGTTTGCAATTGTTTATAAGCTACTCTTTAATCTAAAAATGCAGCATCCACAGAGGGCAAAGGTGGTTCAGAATGATGAAAGCAGCTTCACAATATTGCAGTGCAAGCCCTGACCCTTTTGTATTTATGTTGTGCCATCACAGGGGTGGCCCAAGGGGTGGAGCTTGTTGCACAGGGGCATGACACCTTTGTACATGCTGCTTAATCAGTATCAAGATGAAGTAACAGTAGAGGTTAGAGGGGGAAAGTGTTTTTTTCAACATGCAATGTACAGGTGAAACTCAAAAAATTAGAATATCGTACAAAAGTCCATTTATTTCAGTAATGCAACTTAAAAGGTGAAACTAATATATGAGATGGCCTCGTTACATGCAAAGCAAGATAGTTCAAGCCATGATGTGTCATAATTGTGATGATGATGGCTTACAGCTCATGAAAACCCCAAATCCACAATCTCAGAAAATTAGAATATTGTGAAAAGGTTCAATATTCTAGGCTCAAAGTGTCCCACTCTAGTCAGTTAATTAAGCCATAACACCTGCAAATGGTCTCTCAGTCTGGTTCAGTGGGAAAGACTGCTGACCTGACAATTGTGCAGAAAACCATCATTGACACCCTCCGTAAGGAGGGAAAGCCTGAAAAGGTAATTGCTAAAGAAGTTGGATGTTCCCAAAGTGCTGTATCAAAGCACATTAATAGAAAGTTATGTGGAAGGGAAAAGTGTGAAAAGAAAAAGGTGCACAAGCAGCAGGGATGACTGCAGCCTGGAAAGGAGTGTCAGAAAAAGGCCATACAAAAGTGTTGGGGACTTTCACAAGGAGTGGACTGTGGCTGGAGTCAGTGCATCAAGAGCCACCACACACAGATGGATCCTGGACATGGGCTTCAAATATCATATTCTTCTTGTCAAGCCGCTCCTGAACAACAAATGTCAGAAGCATCTTACCTGAGCTAAAGAAAAAGAGAACTGGTCTGTTGCTCAGTGGTCCAAAGTCCTCTTTTCTGATGAGAGCAACTTTTGCATCTCATTTGGAAAACAAGGACCCAGAGTCTGGAGGAAGAATGGAGAGGCACACACTGCAAGATGCTCGAAATCCAGTGTGAAGTTTCCACAGTCTGTGTTGATTTGGGGAGCCATGTCATCTACCGGTGTTGGTCCACTGTGCTTCATTAAGTCCAGGGTCAACGCAGCCATCTACCAGATTTTGGAGCACTTCATGCTTCCTTCCACAGATGAGCTTTATGGGGATGCTGACTTCATTTTCCAGCAGGACTTGGCACCTGCCCACACTGCCAAAAGCACCAAAACCTGGTTCAATGATCATGGGATTACTGTGCTTGATTGGCCAGCAAACTCATCTGACCTGAACCCCATAGAGAATCTATAGGGCATTGCCAAGAGAAAGATGAGAGACATGAGACTGAACAATGCAGAAGAGCTGAAGGCCGCTATTGAAGCATCCTGGTCTTCCATAACACCTCAGCAGTGCCACAGGCTGATAACTTCCATGCCACACCGCATTGAGGCAGTAATTGCTGCAAAAGGGGCCCAAACCAAGTGCTGAGTACATATGCAAGCGTATACTTTTCTGATGTCTGACAACCCTTGTTTTATTGATTGCATGTAATATTCTAATTTTCTGAGATTGTGGATTTGGGGTTTTCATGAGCTGTAAGCCATCATCATCATAATTATGACACGTCATGGCTTGAACTATCTTGCTTTGCATGTAATGAGTCCATCTCATATATTAGTTTCACCTTTTAAGTTGCATTACTGAAAATGGACTTTTGCACGATATTCTAATGTTTTGAGTTTCACCTGTAGTTCAGAAAGGATGATGGTGACACAAAGTCTAAAAATACCTTTCTCACAGCAGTTTCCTTTGAAGGCGTTCAATACTAGGACTCCTTACATTAAAAACATGGATCAGAGCATTAGATACCAAAAGATAATACAGGCCATGGTATTATTAAAGACGATTTTAAAATGGAAATGTCCAGAGCCAACGACCATGATAGCAAAATCAGCCATGGATAACATAATAAAGGTATCTTTATTGTGTACCATATTGCTTCGAGAAATTTCAACAACTGAACCCCCACAAATATGCCCAGGATTTTTTTTTAAATGCCCACTGACTTTTACAGAAAGCACACAGTGAATATTAAGCAAAGCTCTTCTATCTTCTTGTATCATTGCCCACAGCTTGCACTCTGTCCCCCAAAATATGGAGTGACTTTTAAAAACCTTCAATAAAGGTTGTCCTGTTTACATTGAACAATATACAATTCTCCTGTAAATTTGAAACATTGTACTTTCTATTGTTCTCTTCCATATAGAATAAGGCTGGATTCCACAAGACATTTCCTGAAATTGTGCAAACATTTAATATAGGATGGCTTCAAATAATGCTGGCACCACCTGAATATTAGTAAGTTTACTGGCTTCAAACATATAACTCCACAATGTGACCCGTAAGCCTTATCATTATTGGACTGAGAATGTCCTACAAATGCAGGCTGGTTGAGGGATATTTTAAACATACACTAAGTGATGTGTTATCACTTAGTTTGCCTTTTATCAGTCCAGAGTGCCACCCAAACATCAAAAACATGCTAGTTTGCTCAAAGGTTTCTGGGATATCATTCAAAAGAGAGGGAAATCAATAAGGTAGAGGTGACCCGTTTACTGTGTCACTTGGGGCACATTCACATCCACTACAGATATATTAAGCCACGTTTAGCATGTTGTATGATCAGGGTGATTTCCAAGCTGCTGTACAATGGTAATAATGTTCAGCTTCATCTTGAATTTGAATGATTAAAGAAAAATACAATCCACAGTACCAATAACTTTTGTTTAGTCTGGCAAAATGGTGCATAGATGGTTGTTTTGAGTTCTTTAGAACTTTTTGTCCAGCAAAGGAAGAAGGAAAATGAGAGTTAGGTGTTTCATGCTGACATTATAGGATTGAACTTTAATCATACCTGTAATCTTAAAAGATAGAAGACACGGGATGAACCCTATGAGAAATTATGCAGACTTGACATGGTCTCTAGGGCCATGGTAAACTCCATAACTGGAAGGAGTAAATATTTCTACCTCTAAAGGAAGGAATAACAACTAACTAGTGGTACATTCCCTGAAATGAGCCATCTGATACATCTAGTGGCAAATACGGTGTCGGTAAATTTGGAAAATGTTTTGTAGATAAATGCAGTTACTTAGTACTTCCTGCATCCATGTTTACTTGCCCTGCACACACAATCAACTTCCACTGAACATTACAGAGAGTATTGTGGAAAAATACATATTGCATTTGTTTCCATTTTTGTACTGGTAAAATTTAAATGATGTTACTTAAAAAAAAACTTTTTATTGCTTTAAACTAGGACTTGAAAGCCTACTTATCCAAAGCTCCCATTACCCTGAAAGCATTAACATACATAAACAATAAAAGTTAAAATGTTCAAAAGCTTGACATCTTTCAAAGATAATATTCTGCCCTTACCAAATTTAGCAGTTGACTTAGGTTGATAATTTCAACTTCCAATACTTATTTGAAAGGTACTTTTGGTATTTTCAAAGAGCTACTTACAAACCTGAATTAAATGAAATATTGTGGTCAAATAACTTCTTGAAAAATATAGCATATATAAGATATATTATCCACCCCTCATAGTACATTCATTCTATAGTGCTACTTATTGAACAGCACAACACAAGTTTATAAATCTGTTTCTACTTTTGTTAAATATATCTATCATACATTTGACAAGGAAGCTCATTTAATAAAAATATTTTTTAACGGATGAAAAGTGCTGTCCTATAATTCCAAGTTAATTCAAATTCAGTTGGATCTTTTACAACAGAAGTGTACTACATCACCACTTTTCAGTGATCTTTTGACTTGGGCCATTTTGAATATAAATTCTATGGCAGCTACTTATTCCACCCAATAACTTCATACATCAGTGCCCTCAGCTGCCTAGCTTCATAGGTAACCGTGTTCTTCCCACTGTGCATCTTCTCTTCCTCAAGTGGTTGTTCTATTACTGCTGGGATATTTCGGCCATACACTTCACAGTGCTCAAGAAACTGGATGCATTCTTGAATGACACTGTCACGCACCATGATCACGTGCTTACACATATTTTCTAGAAGTGACAAGAAACATCGTTTGGCATAATACCAAGTATCTGTGCCCAGTTTTTTGTTATATGGCTCTAAACTCTTAATCACTCTAGAAATTCCAAAATCAAAATTTCCTTTGGCACAGTAAAGAGTGCCAATAACCAGATTGACAATACAGAGATGGTAGATCTTTTTCTCAGGTTCATGGTAAGAAAGCTGTTCCTCTTCTTTTTCAATCTTTCTCATCAGCTCCTCTGCTTCTTCATTTTGACTAGTCATAATATAAGAAACGCATAGGTTAGCCAAAACAATGGCACTAACTTGAAGGATGTTGTCATAGTGTTTTTTTACAATGGGCTCATAAAAACCAATTGCCTCTTTGTATTTGTTCTCTTGCATGAATAGTACATGAGCCACATTCAGTTTCCACACTTCATGATCCTTGCAGAAGTCTACTGACTTATGGAACATTTTTTCTAGCATGGGATAGTTTTCCATATCCCAATAAATCTTGGCCTGGGCCATAAAGACAGGAACGTATTTCTCCAGTGTCTCATCATACTCATTCACAGCTTTCCTTAGAGCGTCATCATCTCGATTTTTCCTAGACTCCTGCACCTCCTTTGTCAGTTTTCTGAGCTGCTCTGTTAGGGCCCCTGACAGTTCATCCAGCTTATGAAATGCCTCATCGGGGGCCGTTTGACAGGTGATCATAGCATCCAAGTAGTTGTACAAATAAGGAGTGAGCAGTTTGTACGTCAAGTGAGCATTCTCAGCCAGCACATCCGCAGCCAGGTCATAGTACTGATACTTGCAGTAGAGAAGCAGCAAATTCCCAAATGTCTCTGGGGGGCAAGGGTTCTGCTGCAGAAGGAACTGAAGTTTCTCAAAGCCTTCTGTGGCTCTCCTGTCCATGTTCATCAGCGCCTGGTTGTGCAAAGTGACCGGGTCCAGCTCCTCCTCAGACCGAGGAGGCATATCTGTTAGGGCCTCCTGAGCTGCCTGGAGGTTGCACAGCTGGTACTCAATGGCAGCTTTGAGATTGAAGGCTTCCACCAGGGCCGTCCGATGCAAGAGCAACGTATTGCCCACGCTGCGGACGTCGAGGCCTTCGGTATTGGTCCCAACGCTCAGCTCCGGGTGCTGCTGCATGCCCCGCTCTATGATGTCGGCAATATGCTTCAGAGCAGGGGCGTATTGCTTGGCAGCGTAGCAGCACAGGGCCATGTTGTAGGACAGCTCAGGGCAGTAGCCCAGCACTTGCATGGCAGAGGCGAACTTCCCGCAGGCTTCCTCGTGCTGCCCTTCGCGGTAGAGCAGGCAGCCCATGTTCACCTCCGCATCGGGAAGCTCGGAAGGGTCCTCAGGGGCCCCGGGGCTGCTTTCGGTGGCGGTTGCCAGCTGCAACTCCACCAGGGCCTTGGCGCTGGAGAGGTCGCCCTGGGCGTAGTGGGCCGCCGCCTGGAGGCGCAGGGCTCGGCTCTGGAAGGCCGCCACGTCGAGCAGCGGGACGGCGGCGCGCAGGGCTTCGCCGTAGAGCCCGGCTTTGTAGAGCGCCTGCGCGTGATACAGCCGGTACTCGTGGAGCTCGGGGTGGAGGAGCCCCAGCTGCTCGTAGCACTCGGCCGCCGCGGCGAAATCCTGCAGCTGGTAGTAGCAGTAGCCAAGGAGCGACAGGCCGGCCCGCGACCGGCAGCTCCTCTGCAACTCGCTGCTCAAGATCCCCACCGCCTCTGCAAAGCGGCCGGCTCGGATCAGCCCGTAAATAGCCGCCGTGAACTCCCCGTCGGCGATAGAGGCCATGCCGTCGGCCATCCTGACCGAGCCTCTGGTCGCCTGTAAACAACGTTGCCTAGGCAACACGCCGCCACCGGAAGCGGAAGGTAACGGAGAAGCCGCGACCCGCAACTGACCCGAGTTGTAAAAGTGGCGGTGGTGATCGCCCTGGGGAAATGGGCCCTTCCGTATTTGTTTTCTTGTTGCGTCGCTGCGACCCTGGAAAGAGGGTGGTAAAAAGGGGAAGAGATGGGAAAGAAATGGGGATCCCAAAAGGATTGACTACGAGGACTACATCGCTCGCGAGCCGCGCGGCTCTCTTTTCCCTTGCCGCCAAGTATTGTGGGGGATGTAGTTCTCGTCTGGAACTTGGGCGTCCGGCTCTCGCCGAGAGTTCCATGTCAGGGGCGTGGCCGGGTGCCTAGAATGGCTAAGGCGGAGTTGCGTTTTCCTCTCCTCCGGAGATTTGAAGCCAAATCCGCTGTTTCCGAAATCTCGAAGGGGAACGGGCTGCAAAAGGAATCAAGCGCCTATACTTTCAATTGCTGGGTGGAGAAAAGGATTTTGGCGCTGACGAAGTTGATGCCGCACGGTTCCTTTGTCCATCGGATGCCGTTTCCATACTGCTCAATGGACCGTCACGTCCCGCTAAAACAAAGACGTGCCCTCCTCCCCCCTCCCCTTAAGCGAATAGGAGTGGTTCAACTTTAAGATTGTCTTGTAAGAACAATTCTCTTTCCTCTCTAAAGAATATGCAGTGGCATATTCAAATCTATAATTAATTTTTTTTAAATATAATTCAACTCCCTCTATTAAAATTGACATGTCTTTTTTATTCTGATTTAAATTAAAAAAAAACACGCTAATTCGGTTTTCAGGTTGAGTAGGGTATGGAAAGAGAACCCAATCTTCTGCTATTTATACAATTTATTTTGTTTGTATTTGCACAAACTAGTGTTATGATAGACTACAGATGGTTTCTTTAAAATTTGAACCATAAAACTCAAGTGAATGATCTTAAATACTACCTCTAATTTTGCAGAATTTTTGAAAAATAAAATACAGCTTTAATATATTCTGTCTTTATGAAAGAGGGACAGAATACAAATTGAGCGTTAGAATAATAGTGAATTGTTAATGAAATCTTACAAACTTCCGCAGAAATTAAATGCAAATGTTTTGAAGGTTTTCATTTTTACAAATCGTTAAAGCATTTATCTAGTTATATTAATATCAACTTTTTAAAAATACCATGTACACTTATTTTTATTGGACATTTGTTGAATATTTTTTTAGTGAACCATAACCAAGGATGTATTGCAACGTATCAGAATGTTCAATGACTGTTTCTCATTTTCTTTTTCAGGTAATAGTATATATCTTCCAATAAGCTTAGTAGATTTGGCTGGCAATTTCCTTTTTATGGCCAAATAAGTATTTATGGGCTGCATTGGGGTAGTGTCAGAATATATGTCAACAATTGTTCAGGCAACTCTTTCCTACAGGTTTTTTTTTTTTGAATAAGATTACAAAAAATGTTTTAAATGTTAAATTTTGCCCATCTCTCTGTATTTAGAAATCATTATGGTCAATAATAAAAGCATTTTAAACGTTAGTGCCCATGTCTAATGTAAAACACAGTGCAATTGAACCTTCCCCATTTGGGGTTTTTCCAGATGTGGCTTAGAATTTCCTCAGTAAAATTTCACACACATCATTTTCTGGCCAACAATTTATGGATTCTTTTGGGGGGGGAAATGCTTTAGTGTAGGTTGGCGTTCAGATTTCTGAAATGGTTTTAATTTTCTCATGTTCTGCCTCCTACGGCAGTTTTATAGGGATCCAAAGTAAGGCCATTTCCATTAGGAAGTCTCCCTTTCATTAGAAACCCAAAGCATTGTTTAGGAAAAAAAATACAAATTATGGAATGTGTTGGGATAGGTAACGCTAGGAGCTATCTACCCCAAAATATTCCTTAGAAATGAACTTAAGGAATAGAAGACTCTACTTCTATAAAATTAAAAGGAGCTTTGAGCCTTTAAAAGTAGATTCTACATGGACCACTGGACAATTTACCATCACCTCCAAATCCATGAAGTCCTTGTGACCGTACAGTTTGTTTAACTTTTTGAAGAGGAGAAGATGCTTCTGTATGCCTAAATGTGTTAGTCGTCAGGAGACATTGTATTGGAATTGGGGGAAGGGAATGGAGACACGGGGGAGCATTGGAACCACACTATTAGTCAGCAAGTTTTTGAATTTTGAGCCACAATAGAAAAGATAGCATGAGACATGGGAAATAGATGGAGGCAATTACAAATAAGTCTGTGATGGATGGTTGACATTGTTAGGGCCTCAAGTGTATGTCAGTTGCAATGGTTCTGCATTCCCTTCACTGCCACTGCTGTTGCCATGGGCAACGATGTGTTGAAGCCAATAAAAAGCAGAGGAAACAAGGGAACACTCAACCTTGGAGGAAGCTGGAGGTTACATGCTATAAATTATGTCACACTTCGCAGTGCATCGTATCAAAATTCAGGAAAGCTTTATGGAGCTGCCAGCAACCCCCAGTCAATCATGGTATCTGTCTTTTGCCATAAAGCACATATTACATAAATAAGCCTCAGACAAATTCCAAGTATGCCATCCCACCTTTTTATTTATTACTGAGGAGGAAAAAGAGGGAAATGGTGGAGGAATAACAGAAACAAGTTAAAAGACTACAAGTATTTATTTTAGACAATAACATAGATCTTTCTTTCCCCTTACATGTCCTGTTCCCTCTGGAAAAATAATTAAGTTCCATTATCTTGTATTTTGTTCAAGTAACATGTTCCTCTAAAATATTGAGAGTGGGGTAACATTTGCATTATAATTGACTGAAAATGTCACAGAAGGGAGCAGCTTTCAATTTCTCCAGAAGACTTCATCAAAAGTGAATAGTACTAAAACCAGTGTTGGGAGAAAGCTTTTAAAAATGGATCGAGTCTAGTTAAGGGATCTACGTATCTCATTAATATGATAAAGTGTTGTAGAGATCAGATTAGATTACACTTAGGATTCAGATGGTTTGTCATGTGTTCCTAGAAATACAAAATGCTACTATTTGAAAATGGGTGATACAATAGATAATCTGATTTCTGAATCTTGTGCTTAGAAGTTTATGTGGAAGATGGCAGATATCTAGAGTACCTGCCAGAGAATCAGAATTAATTCCCTATAAAAGGAAAAACTATAATTTTTCCATTACAATTACATTCTATTTGAAGTGTTTTTCAAGACGATCTTGCATTTATTTGAGTCAGGTAGTTCTGTGACTCAGAAATTCTAAATGTAATAAATATGTATAATACAGGTCAGCATGCATTTGTGCTGTTTAAAGTGCCAAGGTTACTAACATTCCTAGCCCGAGAGAAGCTACTCTTTTATGATTATACCAGCTTTGCTTAACTGAAAAGTAGCAAATTTATATTATGTGTATAACATTTTAGAGGCAAATGATTCCATCTGCTCTGTTTATGCCAAGGGAAATTCTCTCCATTGTATATATAGTTCAGTTGTATATATAGTTCACACCTGGGCTAGGCTGGTATCACAAACATGTCTTAGTATGCTCCTTTAATTTCATGTGTTTTAATTTTTTTTAAAAAAAAATTAGAATCCCTATTTTTTATGCAGTTTCATATATATGTACATGTTTATACGAGTGTATAGTTTCCTGATAGTGTTTGGGAAAGGCATATTTCCCAAATATTTTTATATGCATGTTTGGAACCAAGAAATATTTGAAATAATTTTACATTGGAAGTCCTTTTGCAGTGTGACAGATTCTATTTTGGTGAATGCTTTCATTTTACTTTAAAAAGTAAACAGTGACAGGCTTCACCTACTAACATCTATCAGTGTTTTACCTATACATTATCATTCAATAGATCTGCACTGTAATTTATATGATGGAAAATACTTTCCTTAGTCATTGTTTTGAAATACAACTCCTGAAAAGCAGCCATCCTATCTATTGCTTGTACTTTTCTTTAGCAAATTCGTGATGGATTCACAGAATTTAAATGGTTTCTTGCTTAAATCTTGATAGGTGTAATTGCAAAAATTCCATTACAACAATATAGTTAACTTTAGGCTAAAAGATTCTATTCACTCGGAGAGTCTCAATAAAGTTTGCCAGTACCAAAAAAAAACAATGTTTTAAAATTCCCTCAGAAGCTTAACAAGCATTTAATGAACTTCCAGGAACTATGAAATGTGATATGGATGGAGAGGAGAACACTATTGTAATTAAGACATTAGCAATGTGATTTGAATTAAATTTTGAATTAAAACAAAAGGTATAGATAGGTAGAGATTACCTTTCCCTAACTATACTATGGGTTTCCTGAGTGAGGAAATGAAAAAGAACCTTTGCAGAACCATGTCCTTCCTGTCTATCTGTGAAATGTTCAAGGTTGGAAATCCTAAACCACAGTGAGAGAGAATATCAAGTCAAATGTTTTTCCATCCAGCTCTCAGGGACATCCGCTTCTTTTTTCTATCCTTGAAAAATGTTGGGAGAGCCTTGTCACATTTAACATGCTAAGCATTTTGGTGTCCTTTAGTTGTTTGGACCACAGCTCAATCACCAAGACCATGGTGGTTGTAACTTATAATTTATGGAAGGTGTTGGGTTCCCTATCCTGTAGCAGGGCTTGGCAGAGCCAGAGGTTTGGCTACACTAACAGAAGTAGCTCATTTCTACATGATCACACTTAGCGCCCTTGAACATGCCCCCTAAAATAATTACGTTGGGCCGCTCATTTCTGTTAAATAATAAAATGCCACTGTTACAGTTGACATAAATCCTCTCCTCCCTTTCACACTCCATGCAGAACCTTTCAGTTACAAGAAAATGATAAAGGGATCCCTCAGAGCACCCCAGCTTTCACTATCAAGTTCCTACCAACCTCAAACCAAGTGATTCAGTTGCAGAGATTCAAATGTAGAGATGGGAGTTGTGAGTCTTCTGTCCTTAAAATTATTCCTGTAAATTCAGGAGAGTGCTTTTTAATCCCAACCATGATTCTTTGCTGTTATAGAACTATATAAAATTCTGATTCTCTGTTATGCTTTTATTCGTTATTGTTTTAACTGCTCTCATAAATTGACTTAACCCAGGCACTTTGCATGATTTCTGATAGCATTATATCATTTTCACTTTTTTTTCCTTCAGAAGTCCAGTCTTTTGTGCGATCTAAATTCTTTTAAGTTCTGAAAGGGAAGGGATGCAATAATATTGCTCTTACAAACATCTTCTTCTGTAAGGATTCTTCTGAGTATTTAGAGAGCTTTTACTTCCAAATGATCTTTGGCAGGGATTTATTAGGGTAGCGGAAATTATAGCCAGCCATCTTCGTCAGACCCTTTGTTCTTACACTTTGGGAAGTGCCAGTAACCTAGAGTAATCCCAACCACATGTCAATTCATATGACAAAGACTGTCATGTTAGGCATGCAAATTGTTTGGACTCAGGTGTTCTTAGCTCACAAACCTTTTTAGTAAGTGTTGACTGGGTTGTGGTTAGACATGTGTACAGCATCCTTCCTGGGGCAAGCACAATTTATCTATAGACCACACTGGCAATGAGAATGGAATATAGATGTAATTCCACACCTCATTAGGGAATAGAAATCCAGTAACTTGCCATGCCGGTGCTGAAATAAATTTGACGTTTCATTAACAGAAGTGAGTTCATTTCAACTGCAGACATCTCTGTGGATATTTTATAAGTCAAGGATTGCCAACATGCAAAAAATAATAATTGGAGCACATGCAATGGTGACTTAATTTCTGTTAGCTAAAATAAATTATTAACATGTATAAGAAAATAGCTAGAAAAAGCAGAGGTAGTCATTGCTCTTTTCATATTATCATCTTGTGTCGTATCAGACTTAAAAATAATTTTCTGAAAATGTACTAGAAAGCTACGTTCATATCCTATAAGTGCAAGTTCTCTATCCAAGGCAAGGTTTTGTTTTTGTTACACAGTTTTCTTGATATACCACTGGTTCTCTTCTTAGATGTGCAAAGCAGCTTTACAAATGAAATTATTACAGAATTCTAAAAGAATCATGCAGAAATTTACCTTTATATAAGCTTCTGCCTGCAGAGCAATTCAAATTTGGTTGCTAATATGAAATCAAGGAAGCAGAGCAGGTTTGTCTTTTTAAATGTAATAAAGTTCATTTTCCCTTCCTTAAATACAGCGAAGAGAGACAATTCTAAAAGCCCTGTTGAATCCTATGAGGCTTGTGTAAAAAACGTATTTCTTCAGAATATAAAGCAGGCTTCTCTGAACAAACCAAATAGAACATAAAAGGGGTAAAAAGACAAATTTCACAAGTGCAGGAATAACCATTCATACTAATAAAAGCTGGAAAGGTGCAATCTCAAAATATTTTTACAAAAATTCTCCCTTTTTTCAATGTCTCTTGAAGATGCTTCGGTATTTTTTAAATCAGCCACAGCTCACTTTGATTAATTTTACTGAACCATGAGTTCCACTTATATGAATCTTTTAGGACCATATTTGCCGATTTTCTTGTTGCTGAAAGAAGCTACAGGATCCAGACTCAGCCAAGCTTTCCAGATTACTGCAGGAGTCCAACTGTTTCCCTGTAGATTCTCCCTTCAGACCAAGTGTTGGCCTGTAGGAAAAGCTAAGGCTTGGCCAGCCGGTGTATATTTTCACTGACATTACATATGTTCTTGCCTGTCTTATATTATTAATTAAATACTATGAGACAAAACGTTAAGCATTTTTTTTGACTCTCTTATCCTAGAAACAGGAAACAGATGTAGACTTATTTTATGCTCTCCAGAGACATAGCTAAGTTGGATGTTGTCTGGGAAAGCAATCTTTTCTGGTGCAATTCCTCCCATTTTTTTCTGTTGGCCACCACAGAATCCAGCATAGGCTTCAATTTTCCATTCACTTTCACTAAGGCCTGAAGAGAAAGCACAAAAGAAGCAATTGTGAATTATTAGTTAAGATGTTGGTTCCAGTTCAGATAAAATGGAATATTTGCTTGGTTTGGTTTGCTCACAGACTCCATGGGAGAGACTCTCTTCTAGAGCATTTAATAGAGAGTATTGTTGCACAACATATTTTAAAACATTAAAAGAAATCCTGAAGGAGACAGGGAGATAGCTAACATGTCCTGGTGAAAAATGAGATAAAGCAACCATTAAAATGTTTTATCTAAACAAGCAGTTAGTCTCCTGTCACATCTTGAGATTGAGGCTGTCATTCTTTTTTTTACTTTATTCTAGTTTTTCCACTTTATTCTAACAAAAATGTCAAGATAAATTATGTGAGAACATTTGGCCAAAGGTGGTCCAACCCTGAAGCCAATTAGATATTTGTCCAAGGACTCCCCAGCCTTAGTTTTATTCTAATCGTTGTAATAAATAAAGATGGGCAACATGTTCTGTATTTGGCCATGGAGTAACTCTCTAGCTGGCTGGTAGGCTATATAGAAGCCTAGCAACAAAATGTTACTTCAAGAGTCAAGGAAGTTTAGCAGCTTGGGTGTTTTGTAAGGATGAGTTTGGGAGTGTGTAAGCACATGGCCTATATTCTCATGCCCATTTATTACATGATGTGACACAAGTAGGTCTAATGCCTCAGTATGGTTTTTTTCAAAGACTTTCCTCACGTCTCCGGTTATGTGTAAATATGCAAAGTAATCAGCGTGTGAATACGCATGCAGAGATTAAGAACAGAAATTTTGTGAAGTAGGTGTGCCAAGTCTTCTGGACACTTTTGAGGCTTCAGGGACTTTGGAAACTGCCTCTTTGAAATATTTTGCATAGCCCTAGGAAATTAAGAGGCACTGGTGAGTTTTGTTTCCTCTGAAAAATTTCCCAAGTGCAGTTACTTTTACTTTTACATTCAAAATGGCCTAGCTGTATTTACAATGCTGGAAGGCTTGTATTAGCAGTTCAGCACGTGACTCCTATCAAGTAAATGTGGAACAGGAAACAGTTTAAGAAGTTAGAAAGGAAAGCCTTCTTAGTTTAAATCAGTGTTTCTCAACTTTATCAAGCATGTTAGCTGGGAAATTCTGGGAGTTGAAGCCCAATAATCTTAAAGTTCCTGAGGTTGAGAAACACTGGATGATATCCTACTAATGAAATGACTTTCAGCACACCAACAAAACCTGCTACTATGGGATGCCGAAATATTCTGGAACAAATTAGGAGAGAGATCACAATGGGAAATCCATATTGTTTATGAAAAAATATAGTTGGACTACATGAACTTGGCTTTTATTTAGTGTGATATTCTTTCTAAATATAACTTAATATAGTACTAAAGTAGCTACTTTAGTTACCTTAGTATAACTTACTAACCTTCATATAAATGATGATTCAATGTACTTTATATGTTTTTTATATGATTGATTAATTAGCATATTCGCCTGTTTCTAGTGAAGTGTATTTGTAAGACACAATGGTTAGTTAACCCAACATCATTATTGCTCTTGGCTATTAAAAGTGAATTTTAAAAAAATGAAGGAGATAGTTGATTTTCAGTTATAAGTATACTACAAGAAATTAATTGTATAGAACAGTGGTAAGATAATGATGTAACATTATTAAAATACTGCCATTTGATATATACTTGAATCAGATGGCATTTGGGTTAGAAATACCTCAAAAGGGTAGATTTTATGTGCAAGGCATAAAATGTTCTTATTCAGAGGCTCTTTTGATATTTAAACTCTATTTGTGTGTTTTAATTAAGCATTCTACAATCTTGTAGAAATTAGCCTTTAAAAATAATTTGACTACTAAAGCATTGATCTCAGGTTTTCTAGATACAAAATACACAGCCTGAGATATAACTTTTAAAATCTTTTGATTACTATATTTTGGGGGGGTTGTTTACTAAATCACTGCAATCAACTCTTTTATGAAGCTTCTGGGAAATTATTTCAAAAGCACCACATTTCTTTCCTCCCTGCAGATTCCTTTGACATTTACTAAATTACTTCTTTAGCACCTTTTCACATTTAAATCAATTTACCAATTCATTTACTGGGTCACTTAAATCTTTTGATTTTGGTACAGCTGTGACCCTCTACCCTTTAGCACTTCATTCCACACATATCATGCGCTCTTCTGCCAGTTACAGAGAAGTCCTTTGCAGGGACTTTTTCTATCCTATTTATTTCCTTTAAACAGTTATTTAAATAAAAACTCAAAACGTTTTGGTCTGGCTTAGTCTCCAAAATCTAATATGTAATGGATGTTACTGAAAATGTCACACCATCAGTTTTTTAAGAATACAATACACCATTGCAATTTTTCAAATTTATTCCTGCTGACCATCATTTGGAAAGCATAAGGGAAATTATTATTAACAAGGTATCTGTGATGACCCAGGGTGGGATACAAAATAAACATAGTCACAAAAACAGGTAAAGCCCCTTTTATTCCTTCACTTTGCTTCCAAACTCCAAATATCCTTGACTGGAGACAAAAAACTACACAAGCAGTTACAAGAAGGAGGGAATGGCGTTTAAATTATAACGAGTAAAAAAAACCCAAAACCACAAGCCAGGCAACAGCTGCCCAGCTGCCCTTCCCCAGCCTCCTTCACAACCTCTGGAGCCACACTTCCACTCCCTGTCGGCTCTTCCTCCTTTCCCTCAGAGTCAGTCTCCACTAGGGCCATGACAGTATTATTTCTAGCATGCATACAAAAGTTAAGTGCTGCTTTGATTCTTGGACTTTTTCTGCAATATAGTTGTATATTATTTAGTTGTATGTATGAAAAAGTTTGTGCACCAAGTATCTTACACACTTTTAACAGGTGTGTTAAAAATTAACAATTTTAATTCTTCCTGTGCCATATAATAATCTATATACAAGAACTTAGAGATCAGCAAGAACCTACAGAGATCAATCCTGCAGAGAAAAGCATCTAATTGTTCCCCATTTTCAGGAATTTAAAGGGCAATGCTCAAAAGCATTGTTTATTGTGGTGAGAACAACCCTTTATAAGGGTTGATCTTCAGATTAGTTGGATTTTGAAAGCCTCCTCAAATCTTCTCAACTGTGCAGTCATATTCAATAGATCTGCCCATATCATAGCCATCTTCTGGAAGATGTTGAAGACTGAGCTCTTGCCAAAAACATTTGATTGTGGCACTTAACATAATTTAACAGAATAAAAGAGTTTGAAGGGACTTTAGAGGTCTTCTAGCCCAATCCCCTCCTCAAGCAGGAGACCTTATTACATTTTAGACAAATGACTATCCAATCTCTTCTTAAAAGCCCTCAGGGATGGAATATCCACAACTTCTGAAAGGAAGCCTTTCCACTGGGTAACCATTTCTTGGTTTTGTTATTCTAAGTTTTATTCTATGTTTTATATAGAAATATATTGCTTCTGTATATTAAACGACTTTACTATTATAATGGTAACAGATGTACTCTATGAATTTTGCTTAATTTTCTTCAAAACTATTTAATTTACTTCTGTTCAACAATCTCATGAAGAAGGAACTTGGTGACAAGAAAAACGTTAAAGGGGTAACAGGTATTAGCATGTGAAAGTTCCACAGAAATCAAAACAGTAATAATAGTATTGTGGTTGGTTGATTAAACTATTTCTTTGAAAATAAACAGAATAAAGAAGCTGAACTTTTCAGGATCACACATAGATGATACTGCCCACATCTAAGTGCTACACTGAATTTTGTTCTTTAACTCCCCTCGTCCTGGTAACAACTGATATTCTCAGTTTGTTCTTCACATCATTGGATCTACTTCATTAGGCTTTCAAATTGGAGAGAGCTGGCTATATGTTTGTAAATCTCTTTAAGATTAGCACTTGGAAAATAGAGAGGGTAGAGGATGGGGCTGAGGCTATGATCCCTATGCTCAATTAATATTCACAATTTCTCATATTCAAATTGCTTAGGAAGTATAAGACAAGGAGCGGCAGAACCTGGGCATGAAGTCAAAAGAGGAATCAGCCTAGAATCTCTATATAGCCACAAACAGACTAAGACCAACCCCTCTTGAATCCCATTGACCCTTAAACTAGCACCAAGATAGTGGCTACTGTTAGTTGAATAGATTCCTGTGCATAAGCAGTTTAATTGGAACGTCATGTGTGGTCTTGATCTTTCACACATGACAGGAGGGCTTTAACTGAAGTATTTCCAAAGCTTTTTTTGAAGGTCACTAAAGAATGGAATATGCAAATTATTTATTTACTCATTAAATATACATCTTGCTGTTCCACAATAAACCATGCTCGAGGAAACTAACAAGCACAACATGATTATTTAAAAGCAGATGTTGAAAGATGCATAATTAAAATTAAAAAAAGCAAACAGCCCTTATTTCTTGAAACCTATTTCAATAAACTGATTAAAACTCAAATTAACAAAAGCCTATTTAAATAACACGCTTTTGAAATGTGGCAGAAAGAGATCAAAGACAGATGGAGCATGACCTATTCTAGCAAGGAGTTCTGTGTCAGTAAATGGTTTTTACTGATGGTGGGCAGGAAAGAACTCAATGCCTTTGAAATCTAGGCAAGCTAATAGAAGAGAATGTACTCTTGACTGATTCCCAAATCATGTAGTACTTTGCAAATCACAGCTAGCATTTTGTAGGGTGCCCAGAAATATATATATTTTCCAAAAAGCGGTTATAATGGGAATTTACACTCTCTAATAATAATTTCAGTCAGTAATGTGCTGCAGCATTCTGGATATATTTACGTTTAAACTTTTAAATGTATGTAAGTGTACATCAAAAGGACCTACATTTCTTGAATGTGTATTTACATAAATTTAAACCTTTCCCAATAACATATTTAGGCAGCTGCATTCCTGGCCATGGTACCTTTTTCTAATGACTTTTGTGAGTCACTCTTTTATCTAAAAAAGTAGGGCAAAATGATTTAAATATAATTCATAAATAATCTTATATTTTGAAATCTGTAATTATTTTAACAACATGGTTTGCAATTTTTTTGTGTTTACCTCATAATAACATAACTTCAGAAATAATTTAAGCAATCACAGCTGCAGAATTTCAATTTTCATCTCTGCAAATTTCCCTGATTATCATAGAGTTGAACAGCCTCTGACACGACTCCACCCATTTACTTATGGTATTTGTTCCACACAGCAATCAATACTTGCTGCCTGGCTCTTAAATAGATCTTTAGAAATCTCTTCAGTCCATATCAGTCTCTTAGATTCTTTAGATTTATCCTCAGCTGGGAATTTGCCAGCCAGGCGCAAGGTGATTCTGGCTTGCTCAACACTTACAGGGAGCATGCTATCCATCATCATTTCTAGCCCTTTTCTGATGCAATGCTCTTTGCTCTTTGTCTTTCTTGAAATCCAAGTGGCTGTTAAATTATCCATTAATCTTCTCTTTCAGATTTGCAGTGAATTTTTCCCTTCTTTGTTTTACCTGCAGGTTTTGTGGCCAACTTTTCTGAACACGTTTTTCAGATTTTCAGATCGTTTCCTTAAATTCTGCTTTGATTCCCTCTTTACATTTCAGTCTCTCTGAGATTGCACTATATAACCAATTGTT